GGGAGGCAGAGACAGGTGAATCTGTGTGAGTTCAAGGCCAGCCTAGTCTACAGAGTGAGTTCCAGGGTAGCCAAGGCTGTTACACAGAGAAACCTGTCTCAAAAAAAAAGGAAGAAAAAGAAAAACAGGAAGGAAGGAAGGAAGGAAGGAAGGAAGGAAGGAAGGAAGGAAGGAAGGAAGGAAGGAAGGAAGGAAAACTCCTCCATGCACCCAAGGTATAAAGCCTAGAAGCCACCAGTAACACTTGGTGAGCCATCCCGGAGGTAGTAGACTAAATTCTCTCCTACTTCACAGACACAAATTTCTCTATCTAGTCTTTTTTCCTGGCCCATGAGGTTAGGTAAGGGTACAGAGGCAAACACAAATGGGACAAGAGATGTCAGGTCCCAGGTCCAAGAGAACAGGGGGTGGCATTCTGCCAGGATGGAGAAGGCAATTAAGGGCGGGTTACAGGTGTCTTCCTTGCTAGACTTGGAACAAACTTACAACTAACCAAACTCATTCAATGGCCAAAGTGAAATGTAACAAAGCAGACTCTGGTGCCCTGTTTCAATGTTGCTTCTGCTTTCTAGGGGAGAACAAGGCTTAACTGCCATTTGGATTGTTGTTGTTGTTGTGTTAATTGTTTTTCAAGACAGGGTTTCTCTGTGTAGCTTTGGAGCCTATCTTGGCACTCACTCTGTAAACCAGGCCTGGAACTCACAGAGATCCGTTTTCCTCTGCCTTCCAAGTGCTGGTAAAAGACCTGAGGTTATCAGGCTTTAGGCTGAATACCCAGGTGACGTCCTGAGCTCAATAACCAGACAGTTGGATGCAAACTGCAAGAGGTTTATTGTTTACACAGGCATCTGTGGGCGATTCAGCAGCTTTAGCTAACTGTGCCGGGCTTTAGAACAGTTTTCTTTTTATATCCATACTTTTGGCAAGCAAAGCAATAGGGGTATTGTAAGAAGTGGAGCTACTGCAGGTGCAGATCTAGGGTATTGTTAGAACGCAGGCATAACTCATCCTTCCTGGAGAAACCACAAGGTCAGATTTACACTTATCTCTACAGCCTGCCGGTTTCTTTCATCAGCACTCTGGACCAGATGTTCTTTTTAATTCGACCTTGTTCCCTGTCTAGGGGAAGGGACCTTGGGAAATTTTCCACTGAGGCTACCTTTTGAGTCTCAAAAAGGGGGGGTGTATTGAGGTTTTTCACTGGGATTAAAGGCATGCATCATCAACACCTGGCTGCCACTTGGATTTTTAAGGTATTTTTTCCTCCCTCTTTTTTTCCCCTCTCCTCCCCCACCCCATCTGCCCACCTCTTCTGACTTTTTCTTCACTCTAGGTTACAGAGGGTTATAGTCTTACAGGAGCTGGTCAAACGAAGCCCTGAGGACTTTTTCATCTGGAGAGACAGTCCTGCTAGGTCCTCTTATTCTTGAAATTCAAATACTGAGACTAGGCCAGAGATGAGGCCAATCAGCTGAGAGCTTGCCTAGCATGCAGGAAGCCCTGGGTTCAACCGAACACCACATAAAAACAGCTGTAACAGAACACGCCTGTAACCTTAGCGCTTGGGAGATGAAGGTTGGAGAATCCTAAATTCAAGGTCAGCCTGAAGACCAACCTGAGCTACAGGAGACGAAGAATGACTTATTTCTGTGCTTTTAGGGTTTGTTGGGTAATTACTGTGCTTGCATGAATGATTTCTACTTTCCTTTTTTAATTTATTTTATGTGTATGAGTATTTTGTCTGTATATCTGAGCACCACATCCATGCCTTGAGCCCTCAGAGGTCAGAGAGGGCATCAGATCCTATGAAACTGGAGCTCCAGTTACAGGCAGTTATGAATTAGCATGTGGGTGCTGGGACCTGAACTCTTGTCCTCAAGAGCAGCCAGTGCTCTTAATCATCTCTCCAGGCCTCTCTACCCTCCTTTTGATAGATTGGCTTCTCACAACTTCTTTAGAAATTTCATTGTTATATTCCAAAGATGTGGCTTCCCCGGGCTAGCTACGTTCCTACATTCTAGGACTTCCTGGCTCTGTCTATTTTTGTAACATAGGTTGATACAATCCTTCTCTGGTTACAGAGAATCTCCTCTAGATTGAATTGAGCATATGAAGTATTTTATGGATTGTGCTATTCCCACTTCCTATCCACTCTAAGGAAGAAGGCTCTATTACACCATGCCACTTCCTCAGCTTACCTGATTGGGCGTGTGGCCTGCCAAGACTCTCCTCTGGTTTGTGATGAGTCATCACTCAGAGTGGCAGCTGTCACTTCTCCCTCAATTCTCTTTCAAGTGGAAAAATAGCACATGTGCCAATGCCTTTCACAAGGGCTCTCTAACTGGAGAGTGTCTAAAAGTCACCCTCTACACCCAGGAATACTCCGCCTGGGAAGAGGACATAGATTGTGGAGGGACTGCTCAAAGACAGTGTGGGAATAAAAAGAGACATCGTGATGTCTTTCTCAGGATAAAGCTGGAGGCATCTTGTAGGGAAAAAGGACCAACCAAAGAAACACACTTTGGCCCTGCAACCAGAATCAAAGAAATGTACCCTGACCCTGAAACCAGTGCCAAAGGAACATACTTTGTCCCTGGAATCAGAGCCAGCGAAAGAAATGCACCCTGGCCCTAAAATTAGAGGCAAAAGGCTAAAAAGGACCAGTAAAAGAAACACACTTTGGCCCTAAAACCAGAGCCAAATCTGACACTAACCCTGTGCAGAAAACTAGCCAATCCCTGAGCGGGAGATTAAAATCTGACCAATCCCCACCCTGGAAGCCCTATATAAACCCTGTGTCTGTTCAGCTTGTGGTTGTTCTTGCTACCCAGCTGTCCTCTGCCACTCTGGCAGAAGGCAACCACTCTCCTGGATTCTTCTTTCCCAATAACCCCTTAGATGAGCTTTGGGTGAAGACCTTCTTTTGCAGCAAAACAGAGACGACTCTGGGCAGAACAGAACCAGCAGGGCTCTAACACTTTTGCCGGGAAACCTTCCCCTGTCAGAGCGGAGTTGTTAGACTCGGCTCTCCACTCTCAACTCTCCGCTCTCCCGGGAGCAGAGCTGAACTGTAGCAACTTCGCCCTGGAAACCTCCTGCAGGAGCAAAACTGCTACACTGGGCAAACATCCCCAGCTGGAAGACTGTCTCCTGCTGGAGCAGAGCTGATACACTGAGGAAGCCTTTCCCTGAGGCAGGGCTGTAAGCTGCTATGCGTATTGCTTACTGCGGCCTGTGGTGGTCCTTGGCTCCCGAGCTCCAGGATACCCTTCCACCCGAGCTGTGTAACACTCAGTATTCTGTGACTCCAGAGTGCCAGAATACCTGTCCCACCGGATCCGTCCGAAATGCCTACACATTCAAAGAGGGTTATCCTTGGAATTCTCAGCTTCATCTTATTCTTTGCTCTTTGGGAGCAGGGTCTGCTCAATACTTTTCCATTTTATCATTTCCTCTCCATTGCAGGTCATTATGGAGAACTCCCCTTCCATTCTGCCTCTGCCTCCTGAGTTCTGGGATCAAAGGCGTTCGCTGCTACCACCACCCGACTTTAATAAAAATTTAAAATTTTATAATAAAAATAAAATAAAAATAAAACTTCCCTTGGGAGAGCAGGTGGAGCTCTGTGAGTTCGAGGCCAGCCTGGTCTAAAGAGGGAGTTCCAGGACAGGCTCCAAAGCTACACAGAGAAACCCTGTCTCAAAAACAAAACCAAAAAAAAAAATTACATGTATTTACTTATTTGTGTGTGTGTATGTGTGCCATGCTTTGCCATGGCATGTGTGTGGAGGCCAGAGGACAACGTGGGGGAGTCAGCTTTCTCTCTATCGTGTGGAATCCAGGGATCAAACTCAGGTCATTGGGTCCTGTGGGAGCACCCCAACCCACTGAGGCATCTCATTGGCCCTCATGTGTCTTAGGCTGGCCTCAAATCCCCCATGTTGAGGAGGATGGCTTTGAACTGTGGATCCTTCTGCTTCCACTTCCTGAGGACTGGGGTTACAAAGCACAAGATAGCATGTCTGGCTTATGCGATGCTGGGAATCAAACCCAGGGCTGCATGAAATGCTAGGCAAGTACTTTGCCAGCCTACTCTCCCTCTCCCCACACTTCCTGGGCAAGTTTAAAATTTCAAGTTCATTATGAGCAAATTGGTCTGGGGAGATGACTCCGAAGAAGACACGAGGACCAAAGCTCAGGGCCACCATAAACCAACATAAAAGTCAGATGGGCGTGCTTCCAGCTCTAATCCCAGGATGTGAGAAGCAGAGACAGAAACTTCTGAAGCAAGCTGGCTAGCCAGACTCGCTGTCCAGAGAACACGGGGTTCTGCGAGAGACCCTCTTTCTGTATATTAGGTGAGTGATTAAGAAAAACAACCAATGTCAACGTTGGGCCTCCACACATGCTCATGTGACCATGCGAGCTCCACACCCGTGAGCATGCTTGCATGCACAGATGCAACACACCGTAAAAGGTAAAAGTGCTTCATTCATCATTCATTCAACAGAAACTTGCTTTTTGTTTTTAAATTATGTATGTATTTATTTAGAGTGTGTACATACACATGTGCATGCCATGACACACTAATGGAGGGCAGGGGACAGCTTGAGGGAGTCCGTTCTCTCCTACTATATGGGTCTGGGGGATTGGACTGAGATGGGCTAAAGGCTTTAACAGTGAGAAGAAGTTTATAGTAACCAGATTTAGTAGAATACTGGGAGAAATTTTGGAGGACACACTCAGGTTTGGCTCCTTACCCAGGGGATAGGGATGATCTGTTGAGACTAGCTTTGGATACAAACCCAGGTCCTGTAACGTCTAGTCTGTCCTTTCTGCTTCAGACGCCTCTGGACTGCCACGTCTAGCAACTCAACTCCTCCGGGCGGAGCGGCGCCCTGCGGCTGCAATACAGCAGCCTGGGCGGCAGAGGGCGCGCGGGCACACCCTAGGACCGCTCTGGCCTGGCCCTTCTCGGTGGCCGCGGAAGGTGACGTGGACACGGAAGTGGTCGTCGTCGCGGCGGCACCGGTGGGAGTAGGGCCCTGGGCTGGGAGTGCGGCTGGCGAGCGGACGGGCGGCGGAGGCCTCGCAGCGGCGGCGGCGGCTTAAGGCGCAGGCGTGGTTCGTTGGGTGTGAGTCCGCTGACCTCACGTGCAGGTCCTCAGCCCTCTCTCCTGCCCGTCGGAACCCGGGAGCAGGAACCCGCTTAGCCGGCGTCATCATGACCAAGGCCGGTAACAAGGGCGGGAACCTCCGCGACAAGCTGGACGGCAATGAGCTGGACCTGAGTCTCAGCGACCTGAATGAGGTCCCCGTCAAGGAGCTGGTCAGTACGATCCCACGAGTCCCAGGAGCCCACCTACTCCTGACGCCGACCCCACGCGAGCAGGCCCCTCTCCCAAGCCTCAGTTTCCCGGTCTTTAAAAACTAGGTCTCCGGGGAGGCTGCGGTCGGCCCCAGTGTTCTTATTGCGGTGTACACGTGTCACTTTGGCATAGTTCCAAGAGACAGGGACGCTCTTCGTACCCGATTCCAGGTTTTTTTACGGGCCAGGAGTGAATTTACTCCCTTTTTGGAAGTTCTCACGACGTCCAGTTTCTTGCTGGGTCATCAAGTGGGAACCCGCGAGAGCGGTTGCTGGATGTTTCCGAGGATGAATGAATGACCGGGTCTCGGGAAATAGGCCTTCAGATAGACCTGGGTGTGGCGCCGAACCCAGCATTTCTAAGAAGCCTGCAATCCCAGCTGGCTGTCGCAACCCGGAGGCTACCCTCCTTGAAGAAAGTGAAATCTCTCCGAAGGACTGGCAAGGTCTCATCCCAGTTGGTCTGAGGCCCCAGGGACATCACACACTAGTTTGTTGCCTATATGGAGTTATATCCTCCATCCATACGTTTCCAACTCCGTGCTCCCTGGTCCTAAAGTCTCATGTTGGCTTCACTTTGGATGGCCTACACTTCCTTATTGCCATTAAAGGACTACAAAATTGCCCTTGGCATTTGGCCTAGTTGTCCCTCCACTGTGGTTTTTGTAGTATGGTGGTTTGAATGGTATGCCCAGTTCCTATCCCGGCTCCATTGCTCAGTAATTGAATGCCCTTGGCAAGTTAACTAACCAACTTTTATTTCTGGATGTCTTCATTTATAAAATGGTGTTAACGGTTCCCGTCTCATGACTTATGAGTATTAAACTCATAATGTTGAATACTTGGAAGGTAGCAAATGCCAATAGATACAGCTGGTGATTCCCACTCTGTGGTACCCAGAGGTTTTTTTTTTTTGTTTTTTTGTTTTTTTTTTTTTGTTTTTCGAGACAGGGTTTCTCTGTGGCTTTGGAGGCTGTCCTGGAACTCGCTTGGTAGTCCAGGCTGGTCTCGAACTCACAGAGATCCGCCTGCCTCTGCCTCCCGAGTGCTGGGATTAAAGGCGTGCGCCACCAACGCCCGGCCAGAGTTTTTTTTAGGTGGTCATTTGGATAGTTCAGGTTGACCTAGGATCCTTAACTGAATGTTCAACTTTCCCAATCCAGGAAGATGACCAGATAGAGCCTGACCCTAGGACAGCTATGTGAACCCATTTCCTCCAAGCATGTGGTCCTTATACCCTTAGGGGGGAAGAAAGGGCCAATGTTGCAGAGCCTCTCTAGTCCTGGACACTGCTGGGAAGTAGAGACTGCTGTGAGGGCCTTGCTCTCACTCTGGTGTTCCCTAGCAGAGCCCTCCCCAGAGAAGGCACTTGGTACCCATACATGTTGGGTAGATGACTAAATGAATGAGTAAGTAAAACGGGAGCCTTAGTAGACCCAGTTCCTGCCCTGAAACCTAATAAAGGGGCACTAGAGGAATTTTCAAGTGCCCTGGGGGGTTTTGAAGGATCACTTTAAATCCTTCCTTTTGCAGTCTTCCCTAGATCTTAGTTGATTGGCTTTTTTCTTCTTAGGCCCCAAAGCATTATACTTTCATGCCTTTCCTCCCTCAAGGTCTCAGTCTGACTCGGAGGCTAGTCTTTGACTTGACGCCTCTTGCCTTCTGAATACTGGGATTACAGGCATGGGCCATTCTACCCCCACCCCGATAGTTTCTTAAGGCCTTTGCTAATTGTGGGAACATTCTCTGGAAAATGCTTCATTAGCAGATGTCACTGAATCATTCCAGTTGTTGGTTTGACGTGTTTTTCTCATCTCTCTTTCTAGGCTGCACTCCCAAAGGCCACCGTATTGGATCTGTCCTGCAATAAACTGAGTACTCTTCCGGTAAGACTGACAAACACCAGCAAGGCCGGGAGCCCTGAATGTTCCTCATGTTGCTGGGGGTGAGGGGTAGCATAAAGTGTAATTTCAGGATAGGTCTACAGACAGGGTCCAGCTAAATCGGGAATTGGTGGGGACCGGTGGGAGAGGATGGCTTGTCTCAGAAGTACATTCTTTAGAACTGCAGGGGAAGCAGGCAGAGAAAGGTAAAGTCAGCAGGATGCTGCCGAATCACTTGCTGGCCTCATCTTCTTTCTGCTTTATTTACTGTAGTCTTGACAAAAGTGGTTTACTTCTCTTGCATAAATGAAATAGATACCATTGTATTTGTTTGCTCTACATTCTATAGAAAAGGTGAGCCCTCGGCCCTTGCATCTTGTTTTGTTTTGTGACAGGGTCTTAGGTAGCCAGGCTGGCCTTGAAACTTCTGACCTTGCTGCTTCCACTCCCTGAGTGTTGGGACTGTAGGAAGTACCAGTGTGCCTGGCTTGTTTTGGGATTTGTTTTTGTCTTGAGATTACATAAACTGTGTGGCCCAGCCTGGCTTCAAACCTGTGCAGCCCTTTCATGTTAGCTTCCCTGGGATCTCAGGCCTGAGCTACCATGCTGGGTCCACACATCTTTTGATGAGAAACAAGAAAGACTGTGGTTTGATGGGACTGTCCTGCCTTTATCCCCCTCTCCAACCTGGATTCCAATTATTGAGACTCTTGTTATGGAGCATACCCAATGTATATCAAGTCCTTTTGATATTTTTGGTTTTTGGAATCTTTTTTTTTTGCATAGAAAACAATGTGTCATCATAACATTTTGTCCATATATAATTGTATCCTGCTCGTATGCATGCTTCTCCACTCTTCCCCCATCATTCCTCTTGCTTTGACTTTGCTTGCAGAATTTCTTCTCCAGTTTTTTCTGGAGACAGGGTTTTGTGTTCCAAGCTGGCCTCAGACTTCTGAGTGCTGGGATTACCAGTACAATAACACCAGCTGTTACTTCACCTATGGATGTGTTGTCCTTAGGCCTCTCCTCTCCTGAGCAATGGCCACCTGCCTCCTTTGTCATCAGGCCATTCCTTGCTGTCAGTGTTATCTCTTGCATCCTGTACCATGGCAGCCATAGCTTGCTGGATTCCAGGGTAGCCTCTTGTTGGCTCAGTCTCAGGGGTGGAGTTCAGAAGTTAGCAGTTTCTTCATTGGCTCATTAGTCCATCCCTCTCAGTGTTCTCTTGGGCTTCTCTTCTTGTCAATAGCATCTGTTCCCACAGCTCATTAAAAATGGCTTCTGTTCCAGGAGGTGTTATGTATCTAATTAAAGAAGGGTAGCAGCTCCTTGCAGCGCCCCACCTGCTGTCCGCTGCGCCCAGTAGTCCCTCTCACCACCTAAGTGCACTTCAGTCTGAGTCTGTTCCATTGTCTGTCCTAAGAACTTTCACTGTGCAGCACGGACCCACTATGCTTATGAGTCTCCACAGAGCACAAACAGTGCCTCATTAGCTGAGTTGTTGGTCACTGTCAGATGGATGCTTACCAAAGGTTAATGTCAGCTGTGTTTGTTTCTGGGCTAAGAATGAGTCTGGTTTGAGTAGGATATATCCTAGGCATTTAGTTACTTATTCCAATATTCCCTGAGCACCTGTGCAAAGTACTATGCTAGGTGTCACAAAGAACAAAGAGTAAGATTTAGTACTTAGAGCCGGCCGTTGGTGGTACACGCGTTTAATCCCAGCACTCGAGAGGCAGAGGCAGGTGGAACTCTGTGCTCCATGAGTTTGAGACCAGCCTGGACTACAAGAGCGAGTTCCAGGACAGCCTCCAAAGCTGCAGAGAAACCCTGTCTCAAAAAAAAAAAAAAAAAAAGAAGAAGAAGAAGAAGAAGAAGAAGAAGAAGAAGAAGAAGAAGAAGAAGAAGAAGAAGAAGAAGAAGAAGAAGAAGAAGAAAAGATTTAGTACTTAAGTACTGGCCATTTTTTATAAAAACCGGTATATATATGTGTGTGTGTGTTTCTTTTCTTTTAGAGGGATATTGGGAGTGGGAATTGAACCCAGGGCCTCATGGATAAGCTATGCACAGTTTTTGTGTGTATGATGCTAGGAATTGAACTTTGGGCTTTGCATATGCTGGGCAAGGACTCCACCACTGAGCTATCTCCATAGTTCCATTTGTTGTTTGAGTGAGGTTTTGTTATTCTGCCCAGACTAGCTTCCATCTGCACTAGCCTCCCAAGTAGCTAGCAGTACAAGTGCGTACTACCATGTCCAGGGAGAAATCTTATGAAAGATGCAGACAGGGTATCATGGGGTGGGGGGCACAGGAAAGGCCCTGTATCACTCCAGCAACAGTGCAGAAGATGAGCTAATTGACAAGATGAAAAAAAACCCTTTCCTCCCACCCCTTGGGTGTTTTCAGACAGAGTTTCTCTGTGTAACCAGACTGGCCTCGAACTCACCGAGATCCTTCTGTGCTTCCTGAGTGGGTTCTATGCATTTCAAATGCATTTCTGTGCTGATTTTGTGCAATGCTGTCTTACAAGCTTATCTAGGTAATTACTGTAACAGCAAGTGTTCTTTCCAGTGTCATTTGAAGAGAATTAGCTGACAAAAGTTGGAATTGACTTGGGGGCTCCTATACCTTTATACCAAAGTGTGTGAGTCCTGGGCCTAAGTCTTCTTTTTCCGGGTCCTAGTCGGATTTCTGTGGCCTCACACACCTGGTGAAGTTGGACCTGAGCAAGAACAAGCTGCAGCAGCTGCCTGCAGACTTTGGCCGCCTGGTCAACCTTCAGCATTTGGATCTCCTCAACAACAGGCTGGTCACCCTGCCTGTCAGCTTTGCTCAGCTCAAGGTAACATGCACCAGGGCTCCCTGACCAAGTGTGGCCAAGGGCTCAGGGACTAGGGGAGCATAACCGTGAGCAGGGGAGGGGACCAGAAATGCCACCTTGTTGACCCTGCCTCAGCTGGCTGTCCCCCAGGTGGAACATAGAGTTTTCTTCTAGCTCCTTTTGTTTCACTTTGAGGGCTGTGTGTAAACTCAGGCTTAGCCAGCCTCTTTTCCTGCCTCTATAGAATCTGAAGTGGCTGGATCTGAAAGACAATCCTCTGGATCCTGTCCTGGCCAAGGTGGCAGGAGATTGCTTGGATGAGAAGCAATGTAAGCAGTGTGCAAACAAGGTGAGTGTGAAGCTCCCAGGGGTCTCCCTCATATTCTCCCTTGGGACGTGCCTCTCTCTCTCCTTGTTTATCCTCCCAGGATGCTAGTAGCTCCGAGTTGTTAGAGCACCTGGGTCCAAGTGAGATCAATCTGACGGAGAGGTCTGTGTTGCTGTAGTTACTTGAGGGCATTGGATTTCCTGCACCTGGAGTTACAAGCAGTTGTGAACCTGATATGGATGCTGGGAACTGAACCCAGCTCCTGCAAGAGCAGTAAGTGCTCCTCACCACCGAGCCAGCCCTGGTGCAGTTATTTTACAAGTATTAGGACCATCTTCTCTACTGTGTATTTTCTTTCTTCAGAAACCACTCATCCTCCAATCTGCCATTATATTGACAGTTGTTTTAGTTATGCTTATTTTGAAATGTTATCCTTTTTAAAGGATGTACTTTTGTTTTGTGTGTTTTGCCTGCATGTGTGTGTTCCACATGCCTGGTGCCTCAAGAGCCAGCAAGTGTTGGATTCCCTGGAATTGGACTTCAAGCCAATTGTAAGCTGCCTGAATTAGATGCTGGGAACTTAACCCAGCTCCTTTGCAAGAGCAGCAAGTATTCTTAACTGCTGAGTCATCTTGCTAGCCTCTTTATTTACTAAGTTTTACTTTTTAATTTAAAAAATTGTTTTGGTTTTTTGATACAGGGCTTCTCTATAGCTTTGGAGCCTATCCTAGAACCCACTCTATCCTCAAACTCATAGAGATCTGCCTGTCTCTGCCTCCCAAGTGCTGGGATTACAGGCTGCACCACCACTGCCCAGGCATTTACTAGGTTTTAGATCTATGCATTTGTGTGTGGCGGCCAGAGGATAACATTGGTTTCATCCTCCAGAATACTGTTCACATCTTTTGAGACAGGGTCTATCATTGACCAATTATGCGAGATGGACTGGCCAGTGAGACCTAGAGATCCTCTCGTTCCTTCCTCAGCAGCACTGGGATTAGAAGTGTGTGCCACTATACCCAGTGTTTCTACATGAGTGCTGGGGATTGAACTGAGGTTCACCCACATGCTTGTGGGCAGGCTTTTTTACTAGCTAAATCATCTCTCAACTTCAACAGTTGTTTTACTAGGACACAGTGACAGTGTCCTAGTTCTAAACCATAGCTTTACTAGGGTTAAAGCTATGACCTTTCTGAGGCAGCAGTTTGGCCAGGAAAAGTTTAAGACTGAAAGTCAGCAAGGTCAGGCAGTGGGAAAGCACTTACCATCAAGCCTGATGACCTTTGTCCCGTCCCCAGGATGCACATGGTGGGGGGAGAGACCCGACTCCCCAGTTGTCCTCTGACCTCCACATGCACACCACCTTGGCACACGCACGACTCCTCTCTTCCCCTCAAAACTAAGTGAACCTTTTTAAAAAGGTTAAGAGGCTAGAGATGACTGACGACTGAGCAGTAAGGGCACGTGTGTTCATGCACAACACTCGTTTGATTTTTAGCACCCATGCTGGCTGCCCAAGAGGATCTGATACCTCTGGCCTCCTCAGGCTCTTTCTCTGTCTCTTCTGTCTCTCTGTGTCTCTGTTTCTCTCTCTCTCACACACACACACACACATACGCAGGCACGCATGTGCGCACAAGTGTTCACATATGTAATTTTTTTGCGCCCCCCCTCCGCCAGGGCTTCTCTGTGTGACCTTGGCTTTCCTGGAACTCATTTGTAGATCAGGCTGGCCTTGAACTCTTCCTCTGCCTCCTGGGTGCTGGGATTAAAGGCATGTGCCACTACTGCCTGGGTTTAAATCTTTTGAAAAGGGAGTTAAGGTTTAGAAGTTTATAGCTATTGATGGACATGTTCTGACAAGAGGGTGAGGAACGAGAGGCATTTGTGCAAGACAGAACTTTCTGGTGACCAGTTTCCTTGATGGTGCCTTACCTTGCTCATTAAGAGCAGCACTGTGCCCTCAGTAATGCTCACTCTGGCACTGGAGCAGATTGCTACTGAGCAACAAATGGCTACATCTGAGTGCTGTGGGAACGACAGACTTAGCTTTACTACAGTTAGTGTAAGCTCAGTGTGTGTGAGGGGTCTCCTCTGTGAACCTCAAGAGCAATGGCCTTTCCCCCCTTTTCTACTTGGGGCTTATATAATCTCATCATCATTGTTAAAGAAACCAAGCTCAAAGGTAACATGGCCAACCATGCAGGGCAACATAGGAAGCCAAGGCTCACATGGTCTGTGAAATCATATTGTGAGAACTTGGTGTTAATGAGCAGTCTCAGTTCTGAAGACTTAGTTGCCACTACTTCCTCTGCCATACACGCTGTACATGTGTATCTTAGTCTTTATGACCCTAGCAAGTGGGTGTTTCTGACCTGTGAAATCTCAGTGTATATGCCCCATTCATCATCATTCAGCAGATAGTGTTGGATTGTATGGAGTTTATCTATCCAAGGTGCTTGCCTAGTGTGCATGAAGCTTTGGGTTTGAGATCTCTAGGAGAACATAAAACCAAATATGGTAGCACAAGGCCATAATTCCAGCACTTGTGATGAGGCAGGAGGATCAGAGATTAGTTCTTCTTAGCTACATAGTGTGTTTGGAGCCAGCCTGATGGCCACCATTGGATTTCATAGCTTATGACTACAGGAGTAGTTTGTATTTAGTGCAGAGGCCCCTTCTACTCACGTATTTCTTTCAGACACGTCCAGGTAGCACAGTACTTGTGGGTGTGGCAACTAATGCCCCAGTCCTTGGTATCACTGGCACGAATGGCTGCCCCAAGCTGCAGCACCTTCAGGCATTGTAGAGGAGTGACTTGGGTGAGTCAGAATAAAGTCAGACGTTTCTAGAGCAGCATCTTCCCCTAGGAACTTACATTAGGGGCAGTCTCTCTCATTTCTGAGCTGCCTGTGTTTTCCAATGATTTCTTTTTTTTGTTTTGTTTTGTTTTGTTTTGTCTTACGAGACAGGGTTTCTCTGTATTGTTTTGGAGGCTGTCGGTCCAGCACGGCCTCGAACTCCCAGAGATCCTCCTGCCTCTGCCTCCTGAGTGCTGGGATTAAAAGCGTACGCCACCACCGCCCGGCTTTTTCCGATGATTTCTGATGGAACTCTAGGAGCCAGGGTAAGAATGGACATGTCACAGCCACTCACACACCTGCCCAATTATACATTTGCTTACTTAGTATCCATTTTGGAGTGAGACAGGAGTTTTGAACTCTTGGGCTCTCCTCACTATCATGTTCATCCATCCTCTAGTGGTGGGCAGCCATTTTTATAAATTGGATTCCCTTGAAAGGCACTGGCAGGTTCAAGTACTGGGTTAGCATTTTGTGTCTTCAAACCAGGCTGTGGGAGAAAGTTCTGCAGGCTGGCTGTGGAACCCCTCTTGTGATGAGTGCGTGTGTGCTAAGGGTTTCCAAGACCTGAGGTATGCATGAATACTCCAACCTGTCCTGAGGAGTAGTCCAAGCTTTCCTTCCCCTTACATTTATGCAGGGAAGCTGGTTCATTGAGTGCCCATCATGCTGCAGATTATGCTGTGGCTAAAGCAATTGCACAGCAGCCAGAGAAGCACATGTTATATTTGGTTTCCTGATCAGAAAATTGGCTTAGAAGAGTCCACTGCTTGCTGGGATCACACAGTATGATAGAGTTTGGATTGTGAGGGGCTCTGAGTCATACCCTAGGAACATCAGCTTTGAAAAGTTACAGAACAGAGAGCAGGTCAATAGTAGAGCATGTGCTTAGCATGCTGAAATTCTACAGAAACAAACAAAAAAGATAAAAGGATTTTGGCTCCTCCTCTGTGTCCACAGTGAGAATGTTTGTGATCCTTTTTCACTTAGCGGTCATTCATGAGTTGAGCCTGAGAACTGGGTCACTGGGTACTGTTACAGCTGGGTGGTGTGGGCCTTTCTGTTAGAGCTGTTTCTGCTCAGGGTCAGTGCTCAGGTCTCAGTCATGCTCCTTTCTGCTGTGTGCCCTGGGCACATCAGTCTATCTTGATTTTCTTCCTTTTGTAGTAGAAATCCAGTCAGTCAGTCATGTGTGTCCAGTGCCCCCAACCAGTAACTCCTCTCCATTTGCTATGAACAAAACAGTTCCTGCCAGTGGTTTCGCTAGTGTGCTGGCTCCTGCCTGTCAGGACTGCCACGATTGCAGGGCCAGCTGGGATACCGATCACTACTTTATCTCAAGAAACCCAAACCAACAAGAAACCAGAGGGAATTTCAGGGTATGAACAGGAGCGGAAGGACAAGGGCCTATGCTGGTCAAATGACAGGGTCAGGAGAGCAAGTTGGAAGGAATGCTGTCTCCCTGGGGATAACAGGGAGCCACTGGGTGGGTTCTCTGAACTCTTACATGTGAGGGTAATATGAACAGCAGAACTTTTTGTAGACTCTAGTTGATGATGTTTTACCGGAAGCTTTTTTCTGACAGTCTTAATGAACTGGACTCCCGTGACTCTTCTGCAGTGAAGGTTTTTATTAAATACAAAGATCTCCATTGGCTTAGTACCACCTTCAGGGCCCCTGGTAGTCCTGAAATGAACGTTCTCTTTCCTGAGACCTGAACAAACATGAGCTGTGAAGACTGCTGAGTAGTTCAGAGCCTCCTCTCTCCTGCAGGTGTTACAGCACATGAAGGCGGTGCAGGCGGATCAGGAGCGAGAGCGGCAGCGCCGGCTGGAAGTGGAGCGAGGTGGGTGGCCATCCTCCTAGTCCTCTTCCCCGTGCTTAATCAGCCAGCAGTCTAGGCTTCAGGGGCAGGATTGAGAGGAAGGTGCTAAAAAGCAGGGTGTGTGTTGGGGACATGGGCAGTATAGTGGCATCCCTGTTACCTGATGGCTTTCTCCATCCAGACTTCTCTACAGGGCTCCACAGTCAACAAGCAACTGCTTATCATGTCTCTGCTTTGAGGTGGCCACCTTCTGGTGGTAAAAAGGCACCTTCAGCATAGCTGGAACCAGACATGTATACACATTCCTATAATCTCACTATTTGGGGGGCTGAGGCAGGAAGATCACTGTGAATTCAAGGACAGCCTGGGCTGCAAAACAAGGCCTTCATCTCAGAAAACAAAACCCAAAATAAAGAACCAGTGAAACAAAAAACCCAAATAAACTCCCCCACACAAAACAAATCAGTAGAGCAGACCCATGTCCCCTTTCAAGTCCCCTAGTATGAAGCCTTCCCTATATTAGGAAACTCCTTGGAGTTTTGAAGCCTAAGCTAGGCCAGAGATCCATGGCTCTTTCTGTTTGTTGGTCTTGGTCTGTTAGCTAGTCTCTCTAGGACTCTTCACCATCCTGTGCAACCACAGCGCCTCCAGCTTGTCTTCATGGCTTTGCCATCTCCACTCTACATATGGACCTTCTGCCTCTCAGCCCGGATCTTTTTGAAACATAGATCAGATACTGCTGAATCTAGAATGGCATCCCAAGTTAGTGGGGTAGCCAGCAGGCCCACTGTGACCAAGGCCAGCCTCATTCTCCACACAGAGGCAAACATGCCATTAAATTAGCCTGTGCACACTTTCTGTAGCAGCACATAGACTACAACTAAGCCATTGCTTTGCTTGGGTATATTAACTATAATTCTAGGATGGCCAGGGCTATATAGAGAGACCCTGTCTCAAACCAATGCAAAACCCCAAAGCAACTGACAGCAACAACAAAAAAGAAAGTGAAGTTAGGGGTGGGAATTAGGCAGGTGGAGGCAGGCCTGGGAGGAGTTAAGAGGAGTAGGCGAAATATGATCAAAATAGTTTATATGAGATTGTCAAAGAATTAATAAAAATATTATGTATTTATTTATTGTGGGGTCTTATTATTTAGCCTGGCTGGAACTCACTATGTAGACCAGGCTGACTCAAACTCAGAGTCTTTGGAATGATAGGATTAAAGTTATAGGCCACCATACCTGTCCTAAAATACTATTTTTTCCAAAGACAGCAACAGACTGGAGAGATGGCTCAGTGGTTGCAAGCACTGGCTGCCCTTCTAAAAGCACTGGCTGCCCTTCTAGAGGAGCTCAGTTTCATTCCCAGCACCCTGTGGCGGCTCATAACCATCTGTTACTCAGTTCCAGGGGATATGACACCCTCTCTGGCTTCCACAGGCATTGTGCACATGGTGTACAGACATACATGCAGGCAAAACACCTATACAAACAAAACTAAAAATAATCTTTAAAGAAAGAAAACAATGCAGCCATTAGAACTTTATCTTCTGTCCTCTGCATCTTGGCACTCAGTAATCTTGACTGGCTGGCTGCATTCTAAGTTGTGGTGGGAGAAGGGACGTGTGCAATATTGACTGCTGGCAGTCCCTGAGCTCACCATGCATGAATTACAACTCTCCGGCTATATGCATGGCTGCCATGGCAAGACAACTCCTGCTGTGTCCACTCCTTGCCAGCACCAAGTCCCTAGAGGCTGGGTGTGGCCTGTTCTCTGCATTCTCTGTGCCCAGCTGGAACACCAGTTGTTTGCATGGGAAACTACTATCCTGACGGTGCTGCTGTTCGGCTGCGTTGTGAATCCTCTAGGCTTTCAAGCCCTAACAGGGCATTTAGCCACCATTTTGTGGTATTCTGACTTTGGAAACATGTATTTCAGGCTTCTAAATGACTAATTTGAAAATGTATTTTTAGAAGCAATAATTTGGAGGTTATATATTTCATGTCAGCACATGAGCTGTAACATCAACCCGAGCAAGTCTGTGTTGAGCAGATTCTTTCTGAATTAAGTTGGTATGACTTTTTAGAAAAAGACTGTACCAACTATAACTCTGACATGAGCTCACCTCACTGTCCCTCTCCCTGTTCCCCATTCATCCCACAGAACCAATACCTCTACTAGGAGGTTCCACTGTATCTTCCCTTTACCACTGGGAGGGTCTGCCTTCTGTGCACTTTTGTGCTTTTTGGGGAAAGAGGGTGTTCTTCAGGCTGGTCTTACACTCCCGGGCTTATGGTCCCCACCCTCCTTTGTGTGCCCATAGTATGCATGTGCAGGTACGAGGATGGCTTGTGGGAGTCTTCTCTCCTATGCGGGACCTAGGGATAACTCAGGCCATTGGGCTGGAGAGATGGCTCAGCAGGTAAGAGCACTGGCTGTTCTTCCATAGGTCCTGAGTTCAATTCCCAGCAACCACGTGGTGGCTCACAATTATCTATAGTGGGATCTGATGCCTTCTGGCATAAAGTTGGATGTGCAGATAGAGCACTCATATAGATAAAATAAAAATCTTAAGAAAAACAAACCCCAGGCTCAGGTCATCAGGCTCAGTGGCAGTTGCCTTTCCCCACCGTCTTGCCCATCCACCCATACCTTTCTTAGGTCCCGTTGTAATACACCTCAACTTTTCTGTTGTTTGTAGCAGGAATCTTTTAGGAAGACCCAGTAAACCCTGGGAAAAACTTCATTTTTTAATGCTGGTCTTCAACTCATTGATATATAGCTGAGTATGGCCTGGATTAGGCGACCCTCTGCCTCAGCTTCTTGAATGCTGGGAATACATTTTTCATAGATTCTCCCTTTATAGCCCAATCTAGCCTCAAACTCTTCATCTTACACACGCCCTCCTCAGCATCTCTTGAACCCTAAGTGCTGGGATTACAGACCTGTGCTACTGTACCTGGATTCTCTTACAGTTTCGGTGTGTCCCGTGGCATAAGGGAAAGGGCAGATGAGTCCACGCTGTATCACTCGGGCAGACAAGCTGCTGGGGGCATTGCGTGAGAAAAGTCATGTTTTGCATATGCGTTGTAGAGGCAGAGAAGAAGCGAGAGGCCAAGCAGCAAGCTAAGGAAGCAAAGGAACGCGAGCTGCGCAAGCGGGAGAAGGCAGAGGAGAAGGAGCGCCGGCGAAAGGAGTACGATGCCCAGAAAGCTTCCAAGCGAGAGCAGGAGAAGAAGCCCAAGAAGGAAACAAATCAGGCCCCAAGTAGGTTTGCTTTCTGTTGACAGCATGCAGCAAGGGTGAAGTGGTGGTTTGTCCCTGTGCTTGTTTGTCCTTGCCTTGAGCAAGTCACCTAATGTCACTACTGCTTGTTTGCTGAAGACAGCTATACCTCTTTGCCAGCAGGAGAGTAAGTGAGAAAACACTCATACCGTTCTTGCCTAAATTGGGCATGGTGGTACTGGGGAGACAGAGGCTGGGAGATCACTGCATTCAAGGCCAGCTTGGTCTGCATAGCAAGTTCCAGGACAGCTGGAGTGACGTAGTAGATACTGTTTACAAACAAAAAACAGTTCCCCCACTTTTCTGTCTAAAATTCTCAAGGTTTTTCTCATTACAAATGTAATGTATGAAGCTCGGCATGTTGGCACACATATTCATAACCTTAACCCTGGGGAAGTAGAGGCAGGAGAAATGTAAGTTTGAGGCTGGGATACAGTGACAACCTATCTCGAAAAGAGGGAAATTAATACATGATCATGGGTGGGTGGGGGATCTTAGAGCACAGCAGCCACATGATCGTCCTTGTTCCTGGCAGTAGCTGCATTTATAATATGGTATGTGTTTACCTTTTGGGCTTGTTCTTTGGGGCAGCAGGGGGGGGGCAGCTTGAGACAGGGTTTCAGGGTTTTTCTGTATAACCCTGGCTTGGAACTCACTTTGTAAACCAGGCTGGCTTTGAACCTGGACATCTGCCTGCCTCTGCCTCTCAAGTGCTGGGATTGAAGCCATGCACCATCATGCCTGGCTCCTGAGCTTGTCTTTTGAGAAAAGGTCTGGAATTGTAGCCTTGGTTATCTCTGAGTTTGTGATCTTTCTGCCTCAGTCTCCAGAGTGTTAGTATTACAAGAACGAGCTAAGACAACTGGCAATCTTTCTCTTTTCTTTTCTTAGAGACTGGCATTGTTTTGGCACGGACATTATGCATACAGTTTTTCCTTTAGAGACAGCTTCACTATAGCCCAGAATGTCCTCAAACTTGTTGTAATGCTTCAGGCTCCTGAGTGCTTGGGATTACAGGCCTGTGCCACCACACCTAGTTTATTATATAATAGTGACATTTGTGATATTAATGATTTTGACTCATCTCCATAAGTGGGTGGCAGTCTATCCCTTTTAAACACCCCTGATGAGCTTCCTATGACCCTAAGTGCCCCAAAGCATCTCCCTGTTACCAAAGAGAATGGAAGAACCTGGGTCTGAGCTACAGAAGGCAACAGAATGAATCCCATTTTCAAATGTAGTATGTAGTCCTTAGAGACCTTGGGGAAGACTGCATTTCCATCTCTGAATAACAGGGGATTTAATTCTTATTTAGATGTTCCTAAAACATCTGCTCAGGACTTGGGAAGAAGGGAGTAGATCTGCATGGATTGTAGAGCTGTTCTCTACAAACTGACTTATTTTGTCCCTCCAGAACCTAAGTCTGGCTCTCGTCCTCGCAAGCCACCACCCCGAAAACATACTCGCTCCTGGGTCGTGCTGAAGGTGCTGCTGCTGCTGCTGCTGATCTGTGTGGCAGGAGGGCTAGTTGCATGCCGGATGACAGGGCTGCAACAGCAGCCCCTCTGCAGTAGGGTGAACACCATCTACGACAATGCCGTCCAGGGCCTGCGTCATCACGAGATCCTCCAGTGGGTCCTCCAGACCGACTCCCAGCAGTGAGCTTGTCCTCAGCACCGCTGCCTCCCAGCCTTGGAGCTTGGATTCCTATGGAATTAGGTTCTGCTGGACACAACCTCTTTTTAGCGTCAGACCTACCTGCCAGCATCAGATGGCTGCTGACTGGTACTTGAGATCTCCCCTTTGTAGGACTCTTTGTTCCTTAGTCAGGGTTCCCTGGTGGAATGAGGAGAAATGGAGAGGGGGGAGGAAGAGTTACCTGCATGCCTAAGGAATAGGCTTAGGGGCGGGGAGAGAAGACATAGACTTTTCTAGTTACACAAAGCTATGTAAGGCAAGGTTCCTTTCTACTAAATGGTCAGCTGTCACTACATTTATACTTTTGTATGTCACAAACCCTTCCTTTCATTCCTCCCTGGGTAACCAGGACAGGTTGGAGGATTAGGGATACTTGGGCAAATCTAGCCTAAGCTGTGAGGGTGAAGTAATATGTTTCCTTAAAGATCTCAGACATTTGAGCATTTTAATAACATAAAAAATGCCTGGCTGTGAAGGTCATTTCACTGCCATTGGTCCAGTGTAACCCTGAGGCAGAGCAGAAGAGGCCATCCATGACTTGACTACAGTGTTCTAGCTAGTCTAAAGCAGAACCCAACTCTCACTCGTTTTCTTCCTTTCCTTGATGCCATTTGGCCTCCTTGATAATACCCAAGAGAATGAACTCACACCAGAACTGTCTCAGCCAAAGTGAGTCTTTCATAATAGACAAGTCTTGCCACCCACAAATAGATCTCATACCACCAAGGCCCTAGGAAGCTCCTGTGGAATTCTGCCTCAACTTAAACGGCTTCCTCAAAATGGCAGCAGGCCAGTCTCCTTGCCTCAGTTAGAGCATTAAGTCCCTGATGGCCTGGAAGCGCAGAGGCAGGGCTACAAAGCTGCTTGGGGCGGGTCCACTAGAACTTGGTGTGATGAAATACCTCAGAGGCAGCCTAGAAACTTGACTTCAGAGCAGGTTTGGAGTTGATTCTGGACCTGTAACAGAAGGGAAGGAAGCGGAAAAGTGGGAGCCAAAGGGAAAGAGTCACATGGTGCTGTAGAGTGGTACACCGACATCACTAGACATTAGCACAGCACAGCAGCCCCGCCCACCTTCCTGCTGCACAGAGCATTGTTGCCCCCCCCTTGTCTCTTCACAGCAGCTGGATGACAGGATCAGAAATAACTGTGTCTTGGTGCTTATCTGCTAAAAACTCCCCAACTGCAAGCTCCTCGCCGCTTCCCTAAGGGACCAAGTACCTGTCATAGTTCAGAGAGTGTAGCTCTAATGGCCCATCTGGATAGCTCTGCCACTCAAAACTGCCCTGACACTGGAAGAAAGGCCTTTGTTTTCTCCTCCCCCAGACAGCTCTGCCGTGTAGCTCACCCTACTCAGAATCACTACACATTCCTTAGTCTTCCTCCAAGCTCCAGAGCCATTGGTACAAATGCTTTATTGAGACGAAAATACATACTACACATGGTGACATCATGAAAACAGAAGTCAGTCTAGTCATAGTTCCCTGGCTGGTTGAGGCAGCTCAGTGGCTGAGCCTAGTCAAGCCAACCTGCAGGCAAGAGTTCACTCTGACTTCGAGATTTGATGATTATTCTTTGGATTTCTACGATTATTAAATCCATGTCCGAGTGGTCTGCCTTTCTCCTTTGTGTTGTGAGAGTTGACTGGGCGCAGGGTGGGATGGTTAACTGTCCATGGCATCTGGTTTGCAGGGAGAGGAACGGAAAATGCTGGTAGAGGTAGATTGCAGTGTCTCAGCCTTCTCTGTCCCCGGAGATGGACACTCGATCCCTAACTGTACCTGAGAGGTACTTCTGGCCCCTCTCTGCTGTTGGGGAATCTTTAATCCTGTTGCTGTGGGACATCAGTCAACACTGTCTAAGATGAGATCCGGTTGCAGTGTGGTCATCTGAAGGTAGATCCGCCTGGATAGTTCTGGCCCAACACGGCGGGAGGTGGATGTCACACCTTCTCCACGGCGTACCTGTATGTTGGCCAGCAAATTCTGGCGCTCTTGCTCCGACAAGCACCGCTGATAAGCCTGGAAGTGGTAAATGACCTCAATCCCACACCACCCATCCGTGGCCATCCCTTGGTTCACGAGCCAGGACAGGAGGTAATAAGGTCAATTTGAGGCAGGAGAACCTGTCCTTTTTCAGGCCAAACAACCCACACTGCTGACCTCCATTCCAGGACCCTCAATAAAACTTCCCTCAGGAATTTCAGGGAGTGAGGCTACCCATAGCAGTATACCTACCTGTACCAGGAGCTGTGGTGAGGGATAGGCATCCACAATTGCGCTGGCCATTTCCAAACTGACTCGGTTCAGCTGCTGAATCTGCCTCCTCCAGACCAATGCAAGTCCCCTACCGGCTCGGTCCACTTTCATCCCTCCAGCCCAGTCTTTCTCCAGATAGAATGAAAAGCTGGTTTGATCCCGCAGCTTCCTGCAAGAGCACCACTAGGGACCTGAGTTCCTCTCTCCTACGTATTTGTCCCCTCAATTGGACTGAAAAGTTCTCCAGTGACCTGGAGGTACAGGTCAATTTGAGTATCTGTTCTCAAGCTCAGTGTTGGTTGCAGGGTGGGGTGGGGTAGGACGGGGCTGGAGAGATGATGACTCAGCAGTTAAGAGCCTGACTGCTCTGGCAAAGCAGCAGATTTGATTGCCAGCACTCACGTGGCAGGCAGCTCACTACTACCTAACTCCAATTCCAAAGGCTCTGATGCCCCCTTCTGCCCTCCTTGGGCACTGCACACATGCAGGCAGACACCCATACACATAAAAAAAGAAAAGAAAATTGCATCTGGGGCCTCAGGGAAGACCTGAGTTACTTGCTGCATCTGTAACCCCAGACCTACAGTGGGTTATGGGATATGGAGACAGAATCCCTGGAGTCACAGGTCGGCTGTCCCTATGTAGGCAGTGGCAAAGAAGTTCCTGCATTGCCGGTAAGGATCTGAAGTTGAGGCTATTGCTCACACTCTCATACATGTGCATACACAAACATACACATGCAAAAAGATTAAAAAACAACCCCTGCGTCTAGTCCTTTTTACTAGAAAAGGTATTAGCGTTTTTTTTTCCTGATGTTACAGTGGGTTTGTAGGCACAGGGGTCTTAAGTTTTGGGCAATTTGGAATCTATTTCTGGTTCTCACTCTCAGTTCTCAATTCCTCAACATAAAACAAACTTCCTGGACAGGGTTGTCTCTTGAGGTCCCTGAGTTTTCAGTTCAGACCAGGACCACTCAAGATCTAACCTGAATGAATCTTAGTAATCCAGCATCAATTTATACAATAGGTCTGCATCTGAGTTAAAGAATATTTTTATAAAGGGCTGCAATTGAGTATGTTTTTCTTTCTCCCCCCCCCCCTGAGATAGGGTTTGTCTGTATTGTTTTGGAGGCTGTCCTGGAACTCGCTCTGTAGACCAGGCTGGCCTCGAACTCAGAGATCCACCTGCCTCTGCCTCCCCCGAGTGCTGGGATTAAAGGCATGCAACCCGGTGAGGTCTTTATTTTTATTTTATGTGTATGAGTATTTGCGTTCATGTGTATATGTGTATCACTTGCCTGGTACCCTCACAAGCCAGCAGAGGGTGTTAGACCCCTTGGAACTGGACTTACAGACAGTTGTAAGCAGCCATGTGGGTGTGAGACAGTCTGGGTCCTGTACAAGAGCAGCAAGTGTTCTTACTTAACCTCTGAGCCCTCTCTCCAGCCCCCTAGATTTGAGGCTTTTGCCAACAATCTCCAGCATAAGATAAGCCTCTGCCTAAAAACACACTGGGCTGGCGGCAGTTTAAGAGAAAGGTAAATTTTTCTGGCTGCAAGAACCAAGGGAAAAGCAAGGCCTGGTGTGGCGTGGAGCACGCCAGGTCACTCACTTGAAGGGGGCTTCAGCTACGGCCTTTGTGAACGCACAGGCGAAGTCAGCCAGCTCTTTCCAGCTCTGCACCATCCGAGCCTGGGCTTCTGTATGTAGCTGCAGATCCACCAACGCCTAGAAGAAACCCAAAGGCAACAATCGACTTGAAGAGTGGAGAGACTGGTTAGAAGTCTTCTCAGTGTTCACTGAAGCTGCACTCAGCCTCTTGGCTCCATTTATCCCCTTTCCTACTCAGTCCAAGGTAGCCAGAAGTGCTAGTGTCCTTCTATTTGGTCTCAGTTGAAAATCTAGTTAGATAACCAGTGAGCACTTACCTGACCCGGGCAACAGAGTTCTTACCTCTTCCAAGTCTACCCTGGACATCATGAGCCTTGCGCTAGACTCTTGTCTCTTCTGCTGCTTCTCTTTGGCCTGCTTATTTGCCATTCCTGATTTCCTTCTTCTTGGAGGATTCTGAGCCCTGGAACAGCAGGCCCAAACTAAGCCGGGCAGAAGTGTTGCAAGACAGTGGCCAGCATAGCCTACAGCTTGCCAGGGACACCATCTTCCAGAATGCCTTGTAGTCGGGGTGAAGACTCCCCCTTGATAACTCACGAGCTGCCCCTTTAAGGGCTATGTCCACAGGGCATATACGTACCTGAAGCATTTCTCCTGGTCCACAATTACCAGTGACAATGCTTTCCCTGTCCTTGCTGTGACATCAGTTACAAAGCCCTCAAGTGTCTCCTTCCCTTTCTCGGTACTGCCCGGGCTTCCCTGCATTAAGTGGCAAGAAGGACATTGACACTGGCTCTTCGGGAAGAGGCTGGTACCATCCATGCCTCAGTTCTACCCCTACCCCCGCATACCTGCTTTAAGCTGTACACCATGGACATGAAGGTCTCTGCCAGGAGCAACACCAGGATGGTTGGTTCTTCCAGCCACTCTTCTCCATCCTGCCAAAGACCCAAGAACACAGCACCGAGGTCGGCAGCTGTGGTGCCTGTGGGTGGGCTGGATCCTCCAGGTGAGTGGCCCTTATGTAATAGCCTTTCCTTCTCGAATGGTGTCACCATGGCAAGAAAACCCACCTGTGATGGCTTCCTCTCCCCTCAACTGTTCAGTGCTGGTGGTGCACTGTATCAAGGACAGAATATGAATGGGATGGGAAAGATGATTCAGTGGCCAAAACGACATGCCACACAAGCCTGGGCTGCAGGTGGATGTCTAGAATCTATGTAGAGGTGGGAGGAGAAAAATGATGCCACAAAGTTGCCCTCTGACCTTCACACATGCACCATGGCACACACACATGTACACAACAATAATACATTTTTAAAATTGGGAGTGTAGCACACCTCTAATCCCAGCTCTCAGGAGACATAGGTAGGCAGATCTCTGAATTCAAGGCCAGCCTGGTCTAAATAGAGAGTTTCAGGGCAGTCAAGCCTATACAGAGAGACCCTGTCTCAAAATTAAATTAAATTAAAATACAAGAATAAGAAAGGATTGCCAGGCATGATGGCGAATGCCTTTAATCTCAGCACTTGGGAGGCAGAGGAAGGTGGATCTGAGTTTAAGGACAGCCTGGGTTACACAGAGACTCAGAAAAAGGGGGGGCAGACGGACACGGGACATTGGGGCTGGATATGTAGCTCAATGGCAGAGTTTGCCTGGTATACACGAAGCCCTGGGCTTCATCCCCGGCACCGCCAGGGAAAAAAAAAAAGATAAAAAGTAAAACCTTTCGTCAGACTAAGGGCTCAGTCAAAGCCAAGGTGCTTCAGGACAACAGCCCCACAGTGACGGTGCTGAGTAGTGCCTGGGAGCAAGACCGGTGCAGTTTTCTCATGGTCCCTAGAAGCCAATGCAGGGTTCCTAACACAGCAGGGTGCAGAGAGCTGGCGGGGGGGGGGAGTTCCAGCTGTGACCCTGAACAAAGCATTCACCTTTTCTGATCCCACCATTTCTCTACCTGTGACGTGTGAAGATTTCACCTTCGGGACAGCTGTGACAGGAACATGAGAGAATGTGCAGTGTCGTCAGAGACAGACTTCTCTATGAACATAAGAAGTTTCATTGTTTGCTTTTGAGACAGGGTCTCAAATATATAGTGACCTGATCACTATTTATAAACCAGGCTGGTTTCAAACTCAGAGACCCCCTGGCTTCTGTCTCCTGAGTGCTGGAATTAAAGGTGTGTGCCACTACACCCATCTGTGAATATAGTTTTGCTAATAATACAAGTTAAATGTGTAGGTGACTGTCCCAAGTTACTGAGAGCCATGAGGGTCAAATGAGAAGGGAGCAAACATCTTAAAGTTTTGTTTCTAAACTCCTGAAGGGAGAGTGTCCGGATTCACAGACAGGAGGAAATGGTAGGAACAGCAGGTACAGTAATGTGGACATCCCAGGCTAGAAGATGAGTGTCCTAAGCCTACTAGATGCTAGTGCCAGATTACCTCACTTAGACCCTCCAACAGGGGAAAGTGCTGTCACCAGTGTCCTCAGTCTGCAACAGGCAACTGAAGCACAGACGCACGCTGACCTGCAGAGCCCAGCAGTGGAGCCAGGATCTAAACTCAGTGGCTCCAATCCCGAAGCTCAGTTAGAGAACTAGGGATTGCACACACCCTCTCTTCCCCTGTCCCACTCTGCCTGAGCTATGTCTAGACATCACAAGATCCCCAGGCCCTTGGGCTCCCAGCTAGGAACTGAGTGGTACGCTGCAGGAGGGAAGAAATGAACTCTGCCTGTTTATTTCCCAGGACCGCCCAAAATAGTGTCACCTGGTGTTCACTATTCCTACACCTCTGTGACAGATCAGGCTTCTCTGAGATGGCTCTCTCCTTCCGGATTCTGCTAACCACTTCCTCTCCTCATCCCTTCAGACTTGGGAACAGTACCAGCTATACCAACCAGTCTGAACCAGGGCTAGTGCACAGTTCATCCTGCAAGCTAGAGGAGGAAGGGGAAGGAAAACCTCCAGCCAGAAGCTCGTACCTCTGCCAGCTCTGTCCTCCTCCTCCAAGTGATACTTCGAGGCACAGCCTGGGCTTCGATCACGCAGCTGCACTCCATGGACTGCAGTGCTTCCAGGAGCTGGCCTCCACCTTCCATCTGTAAAAGCACTGGAATAGATTGGAAAGGGGTGGTCACGGGAGAGCCCAGGACAGACAATGGGGCTCAGGGGGAAGCGGGAATCTGGGAGAACCTGGATCCAACACCACCACAATGTGCTTCAGGCATTCCTCGGGCCTCTGGGCTTTCAGTCTGTTATCCATTGCTTCCTTCTTTCTCTTTTCATGCTGCCTTGGGGTGTTTTCCTTCCTGCTTGCTTGTCTTGGCTGCCAGCATCCCTGAGAGCCTCTTCCCTGGACCTTCTGACTGTGCCTGGTTCTCTTCTGAGGCAGTGGGATGTCCGGAAGTATTTTGGTTACTGCCAACTCATTGCAGGTAGACTGGTAAGCTGGAAGCTGATGGCCAGGACCGTCTAAGACAGAGTCCCAGTCATTAGTTGGGCTCTTCTCCAAGGCGTCGTGGAGAGGAACATCAGGGATCTCTGGAAATGGCTGCTTTTTCCAGTCACGTGGTCCACTTGTATTATTTTGATGATCCGAAACAGTTTTAAGTGAGGAGCTAGAGTGCTCTGGGCTCGGCTGCCTATGTGTCAAAAACTTGCATGTGATCCTCTGAGCCAGGGGGACAACTACATCTTCCTCCTCGCTTTCACTGCTCAGCACTCTGGCTGGCCCTGCTGGAGTGGGAGCTTCAGCTGCGTCTGGGACAAACGGTGGATCTTTCACGCCTGGTGACGGAGGACAGGAGGCCTCAGAATCTGAGGTGACAACCACTACTTTCTCCCTCTGAGGCTGATTCCTGTCAGCTGAAGATGGTTCCTTCTTCAGAAAGGCAAATGTAGGCAATTCCTCAGAATCACTCTCCGTGGAAAGCAGCGAGAGGGATGGCTTTCTTAGAGCCATCGACACATGCTATCAATCACCTAAAAGGAGAGACGAGACACACGAGACCACTCAAGCTGGTCTGTAGAGTGTTCACGTGGCCAAGCTTTACGATAAGGAAGTGAAGAGAATCAGAGAAATAGGTCATACTCCAACACATTCACTGTGGAACTCAAAATGGCCACGCTGGTATACAACAGGATCCCCACTTCAAAACCTCTCTAGGTCATGGTGAGTTATAATCAAAATACAATTACTATTACAAACACACTACTAGTTCCTTGCTGATATCTGCATTCAACATCGTTTGCTGTTTTGTCTTTTTGAGAGAGTCCTCTGTAGCTCAGGTTGGCCTTGAATTCATGTAGCTGAGAATGGCTGTGAACTCCTGGTCTCTCACTCACAAGTGCTGGGATTACAAGTATGCACAATAATTCCTGCTTTGACATGGAGATCATTAAAATTTTTCTAAAAACATTTGTGTGTGTGTGTGTGTGTGTGGGCGGGCATGTGCATACCCCAGCCCGTAAGTGGCAGTCAGAGGACTTTCAGGAAGCTGGTTTTGTCCTTCTACAATGTGAGCCCTGGGGATTGAACCCATGTCATCAGGCTTGGCAGCAAGCACCTCTACCCTTTGTGACATCTCACTGGCCCCTAACATGGAGATCTTTCAAAATTAATAAAAATAAAAACCAGGCGGGTGCTGGAGAGACAGCAGTTTACACTTCTTTTACAGAGGGCAACATCCAGTTCCCAGCACCCACGATGGACAGCTCTCACAATGGCCTATAATTTCACCCTTTTCTGGCTTCCACATACACATAAAATAAAAATAAATGGACTTTGTAAAAACATAGGCTAATGAGATGGCTCAACAAGCAAACATGCACATCTCCTAGCCTGAATACCCGAGTTCAGTTCCCAGGCCCTCTACGGTGGAGGGAGAGAACCGACTCCACTTGCTTGCCCGAGTGTGCTTGTGTACACACACGTACACACACACACACACACACTCGCGTGCTGAAAACTAATACATGTAATTCCTTTTTACTATAATTCGTATTTATAAGTCACATAAATAGTTTCTATTATTTCAAATATACTTTAGGAGTTGGAATAGTGGTTCAGCAGCAAAGTGCTTGGGTTTAATCCCCATCATACACTAAGCAGGTAAACAAATAAATCCCTCATACAGATTAGTGGGTGGGGCTTAGTATTTTTGTGTTGTTTAACCATTAACTTCAGAATGTCTTCATCACCATAAAAAGAAATCCTATATAAACTGGGCATGCCGGCGCACAAGCTGCAATCCTACTGCTCAGGAGGCAGATACCGGAGGACATTTTGAGTTCAAGGCCAGCCTATATGACATAGTGAGACTGCCTCAAAAGAGAAATGCCGTAACAATGCATTAAAAAGTCATTGCCCATTCTTTCCCTCTCCCAGAAGCTAACAACCAAAGTAAAGTCTATGGACTTTGTTTCTATGAACGTCTGTATTCTGTGTGTTTCACACAAGCACACAGTAAGCCCCTTTTGTGACTGGTGTCTTTCACGTTCACATTTTCAAGGTCCTTCTGCAAAAGTACTAACTCCAGGGCCTTCCTGCTGTAGTTGGATACAATCCCATCGTGCCGGTAGGTCACATTTTGTTTAAGCATCTATTGTAGATGGACACTTTGCTTCCCTTGCTTGGCTATTATGAATAATATTTCCACAAACATTCTCGTACAAATATTTTGAATGAGCCGGGCATTGGTGGCGCACACCTTTAATCCCAGTACTCGGGAGGCAGAGGCAGGCGGATCTCTGTGAGTTCGAGGCCATCCTGGTCTACAGAGTAGTTCCAGGACAGCCTCCAAAACAATACAGAGAAACCCTGTCTCGAAAAACCAAAACCAAAAACCAAAAACAAATATTTTGAATGGGTATGCTTTCACACTTCTCATGTGCCTGGAATTGCTGGGCTACATGCAAGAGCCGTTCATTCAGCAAACAATTAGTAACTGCAGGCGTGGCCCAGGGTAATCCTTGGAACCTTCCTGGATCTCAGTTTCTTTAGCACCAGTAACTTAGGCTTGCAGTCATTAAATGAAATTGTGCATCTACAATCAGCTTAGCACAGAATCTGTCAGAGTCTCATCCTGGTCCCTCCCTTGGCTTCGAGTGACTTCAGCAATGGGACAAACGTCCGTGCCAGCCATGCTCCCTACCTCTGAGGCCAGCAGTCCATTGCAGAAGCCTCCGGAGGTACCGGCCACAAACCCCAGGAGATCTGCGCTCACCTGCTACTGCTCCCGCCACTCTTTGAAATGTCAGCAGGACCCGGAAGTAGAGCTCCCGGTAGCGGAAGCAGATTTTCCAGCCCGGAAGCGAATGCTCACCAGACATGGCGTCGGCAGTTCTTTCGCTGAGGACGGGGGCAGCAGGTAGCTCAGTGCTTTGGCTGTTGGGAGGCGAACCAGCAGGGAGGTTGGGAGATGGAAAGTGGATCCCATGGTGAACCCTGACTGCCAGAGGAGAGAGGGGCTCGCGACCTTTGGAGGCCAACTGCCTCCGGTCATGTGACACGTGGTGGGCGGTGCTGCTGGCGGGAGGGCGTGGGATGAGAGCGTTACTCTAGATGCCTCATCCCCTCTGGGTTTATGTGCGTCCCTTTGTGAATGGAGAAGACTAAGTTCGAAAAAGTTAATCGAGTCATTTTCAGAACTTAGATTTTTTTTCTCCTTATGCAGTTTGCGTCTTAGTGCTGAGTTTTCAGGCGTAGACGACCATGACCAACGCTCAGGTCTGGTGAGACGCTGTTGAGAGTATCAGCATAAACAAGTTTACAACTGCTGGGCTACGGTGGCGCACGCCTCTAATCCCGGAAGTTGGGAGGCAGAGGCAGGTGGATCTCTGTGAGTTCCAGGCCAGCCTCCAAAGCTACACAGAGAAAACCTATCTCGAAAAACCAAAACAAACAAACAAAAACATGATTACAACTCCTTGTAAATTCTGTAGGTACAACAAACAATAACGTAAATAACGTAAATAACTTATCTGCACTTGTGATAAGTGCTATAAGGAGTCTTAAATTAGGTCCTCAGGGATATCTTCTGAAGAGATAACTATTAAGACCTAAAAGGGACAAACGTAACCCTCTGTAGAGAGAAAGCAAGAAAGTGACTTGATCCAGTTTTATATTTTGAGTGCCAAGAGGTGGCAGGCTGAATGCAAATAAATAAACAGAAATGAAAGTGAAGCCAGGTGTTGCTGTAATCACTGTGCTTAGGAGCCTGAGGCAGGAGGATTACCTCAGGTCCAAGGCTGTCCAGGATCAGTCTCAAAACCTATAAACAAGTTAAATAAGGAATGTGGCAAACCCACTGGAAAACTGGAGTAGTAGCTGAGCTGTAGGATCATTTGGCCAAGATAGTGTGGTGATGGTGAACCTGGGGAGAAGTGGGTGATGCATCTGTTCTGAAGACAGACTCCACAGGTCTCCCTGGTCTGGAAAACCAGGGAAGGGAAGTAACCTGCAGCTTCGCCTTGTTTTCCACAAGAGCAAAGATTAATTAATGAAACAATGTAGGTAAAGCAAAACGTCAGTCACCCACAAGTCAGTAACTAAAGCCAGGTAGCATGGGCCTGTAACTACAGTTTGGGCTACAGAAAAAAGAAAAAAAAACGGTGGATGTTTAAACTTAGGAAGATTCCAGTGCTGGCCATTGAACATGTCTCTGTAAGTCTTTTTCCTTTTTTCCCCGTTGTTGTTGCTTGTTTTGTTTTTGAGACAGGTTCTTACTATGTGGTCCTGGCTATCCTGCTGAAACTCACTCTGTAGACCAGGCTGGCCTTGCACTCACAGAGATCAGCCTACCTCTGCCTCCTGAGTGCTGAGATTAAAGGCGTGCACCACTCTGCCCCGCCTGCTCTGTAAGTTCTTATCTCTAGCTCTGTATCCCAGCTAGTTTTATGAGAATATGCGAAACCTAGGTAACTGGCACTATGAGCTTATGCTTCAAACACATAAAGTTTTTCTACAGGTGCTGACACAATCCTATAATTTTGCCAGTCCTAAAAACAGACTGCCGAGTGCCCATGTTAGCATGAATTTTATGTGTATGAGTGTTTTGCCTGCGTGTATGTGTGTCATGCTGTGTGTCTGGTACCCGCAGAGGTCAGGATAAGCCAGCAGACCCCCTAAGAAGTGGAGTTACAGATGGGTGTGAACCACTGCATGAGTGCAAGAAATTGAACTGAGGTTCTGTGCCAGAGCAGTCGGTGCTGTTAGCCTCTCAGCCATCTCTCCAGCCCCATTAGTATGCATTTTAGATAATGTTCTTTTAAAAGTATTTTTATTTATTCTCTAACATTTTTATCCATATATACAATGAATTTTGACCATGTCTGCCCCCTTCAACTCCTCCCACATCATTTTCCCTTTTAAAATAAATGTGGCTGAGCACTTTGGGATAAGTGAGAGGTCAGATTGATGCTGATCTTGGTTGACCATCTGCTCGTGGGCTCTGGGAGGATAGGACCTTTCTGAAATGGCCAGCTGCCTGTCAGAGGTACCCTGACGCGCTGCTCTGCTAGTGTGCAGTTGACAGGTGTTCAGTGGTTGAGTGGGTAGCTAAGAACGTGGTAAGCCTGATGCAGAAACCTCTTTGCATGTCCCATGGTCTTACTCTTCCCTAGGGCATAAGACTGAATTTTTGAAGCAGGCAGCTCTCTGTTGTCCACTTCTGTTTCCCTGTTCAGCAGGACTGAATGTGTCAGGAGCCAGGGCACATGGTGTTCATTTCTTTCCCCATTTATGCTCATTGCCTGCCCTCCCTGACACACCCACACATGCACACGCACACGCACACCACACACCACACCACACACACACACACCATTCCAAGGATGAATGCCCGCATTCTCTGAATACCATACACTTAGCCTTCCTGTTCCCTTCACACACCTTTCATCTTTCTCATCTCCCTTGCCACTTCTCAGAGGCAAAGAAAGTGCATCCTATCTGGGAACCTCTCCGAGTAATGTTTCTGTTTTCTCTGCTCTCACAGCCCTGCTGAGCCCCAAGGCAGCTCCAGCGCTTGCTGTCAGATATGCATCCAAGAAGACAGGTGGTAGCTCCAAGAACCTTGGTGGGAAATCACGAGGCAAACACTATGGCATCAAGAAAATGGAAGGTGAGGGTGTGCCTTGGTTTCTGCTTTCCAGCTGCGTCCTGTGATGCTGCCCGGCCCTTTCTGAGAAGAGCTGAATGGCCATGCAAGTGCCTCGCACTGTGCTCTCCACAGTTCACTAAAGCATTGCTCCACATTGAAGGAGCAGATGAGATCTAGGGAGACTTTGGTTTCTTAGCCATGCAACCACAAAGAGGCTGCTGGGTGGCAGTCAGGCGCTGTTTATGTAAGACCGGCTCGTCTTGGAGGAGTTTTCCAGGGGCAGGCTTTAGGGTGGGTGGTGACCTTGCACTGTCATGATTTCTCAGCATCTTGCTGTGCCTCTGTGAACACTGGTGCAGAGTCATCTCAACTGTGGGCTTCTCTTTTAGGTCACTATGTTCATGCTGGTAACATCCTTGGCACTCAGCGTCAGTTCCGATGGCACCCAGGCGCCCATGTGAGTTGCTCTGTGCCCTCCTCCCTTTTCTTTCTTAGGGCAACCTGTTCATGCTCATGTCTTGGGTCTTCAGCCCATCCCGATGAGCTGGATGTCATCTCTGTTTTATGGTTGAAATGCCAGAGCCTTAAAGAGTGGTGGAACCCTAGTTAAAGCTCAGATTTGCCTTACATTAGATCATATCGTATCCTGGGCCTCATTTTTCTCTTCCATAGAAAATGGAATTGGAGGGCTGGAGAGATGGCTCAGAGGTTAAGAGCACTGGTTGCTCTTCCAGAGGTTCTGAGTTCAATTCCCAGCAACCACATGGTGGCTCACAACCATTAATAATGAGATCTGGTGCCCCTTTCTCACATAAAGTTGTATATGCAAATAGAGTACTCATATACATAAAATAAATAAATAAATATTTTTTAAAAAAAGAAAGAAAATGGAAGTGGGTTATATAATATGATATATGGGCATTTGTAGCTGCCTGAGGATCTAGAAACAATATGCTTAAAATACAGTTATCGCCGGGTGTTGGTGATGCACGCCTTTAATCCCAGCACTCAGGAGGCAGAGGCAGGCGGATCTCTGTGAGTTCGAGGCCAGCCTGGCCTACAGAGCGAGTTCCAGGACAGCCTCCAAAACAATACAGAGAAACCCTGTCTCGAAAAACCAAAATAAATAAATAAATACATAAATAATACAGTTATCTTCTGAAAGTGGCATACATGTGTTTTTCAGTATTTTACTCAATTTGTAATTTTTTTTGTTGTTGCTTGTTTTTGTTTTTGTTTTGTTTCTCAAGACAGGGTTTCTCTTTGTAGCTTTGTAGATCAGGCTGATCTTGAACTCACAGAGATCCACCTGCCTCTGTCTCCCGAGTGCTGGAATTAAATGCATTTCCCCTCGTATGACTCAAAAGAAATATTTTTATTCTACTAGAATCAGATTCAAAAAATACCTTTCCTTCCGTTAAAAACAACATCAAAGAGACTGAGAGATGGCTCTGCAGTTAAGAGCACCTGGGTTCAATTCTCAGCACCATAGGGTGATTCACAGCCATCTGTAACTCCAGTTCTAGGAGATCTGACACCGTCTTCTGTCAGCAGTCATGCAGGTGGTACACAGACATACATGCAGGCGAAACACTCACAGACATAAATATTTGAAACATCAAGTCCAGGATGGTGGTATATACCTTCAACCCAGCACTCAAGTCAAAGGCAGGCAGATTTCTGTGTTCAAAGCCAGTCAAGACTACAGAGACCTGATCAGCAACCCCCACTCTCAACCCCCTCCCAAAGAAAGACACTGGATGTGGATTCTTTACTAAAATAGTAACAGTAGAAGCTGAAGTATTTGAGCTAAATGTGTTCCAAGTTCTTCATGGTCCATTCATTCCATCCTTCCGATGACCCTATAAAGTAGGCAGTTTATCCATATTTGCCAAAGATCACATGGTATTTAGCAGAGCTAGGATTTGAAGCATATTATTATTATTATTTTGTTGTTGTTTGCTTAGAAACGGGTTTCATTATATTGCCCAAGCTGGCCTTGAGTTCTCCATCCTCTTGCCACAGCCACCTGAGTGTTGGGATTACAGCTGGGTGCCACCTCTCTTGGCTTATAGGCTCATGCTTTTAATCAGAGAGAGACGCCAAATAGGATTGGACTAGTTGTGTAAGTCTTGCCACACATCTGTTCTTTGTTGTTTGTTTTTGAGACAAGGTCTCCTTGCTGTGTACCTCTGGCTGGCCTGGAACTTTCCATGTATCCCAAACTGGTCTTAAAATTGCAGTGATTCCCTCCTAAGTTCTGGCAGACATTGCAGAAATGCCCCACCATGCCTAACTTTGTCTTTTCTTCAAAAGCCTGTCTGTCTGTCTGTCTGCCCGCCCGCCTGCCTGCCTGTCTTATCTGTGTCTGTATGTGTG